AATGTAGGTAAGTCGGTTAAACTAAAGTCTAGAGATGTTAATTCCCATCTATAATTTCATGACTTGAAATTTACTAGTGACAGCTTTTGTCAGTTGGGTTCATATGTATTGTCTGTATAATCAATTTGCCTGATTTTGCTTTGCTGTTAAGCCTTATTAATATGTAAACCCATGGCCAACCAGACAGGAGTCTGAGATTGTTAATGAACTATGGAGGTGTTCACCTGTTGGTCATCCCTTTAAATCACAAATATCTCAACAGAAATTTAATAGTTGTTTCTACAAAATGGATATTTAGGAGCTCCTACTTAAAATCAATGAGTCCTATATCTTGCTTTCTTGTAACAAATTCACTTTCTCTTAGATTGTGAATTCCTGTGATTCAGGCTGTCTTTATTATCTTTACATGTCCATAAATACCTTTTCAATGCTGAAATTAATTGGGCCTGTGAAGCAAGAATCACAGTTCTTTTTTTCACGATAAACATGTTTAATCACAGCTGCAGTAGATGAGGAGATGCAGTGAAGTAAATACAAATATCAAGGATGACCCTTTATTATTTTGCATTCTGCTTTATGATTTTTTTCAAAAAGACTTTATGGGGTTGCCAACACTGTAGTATAATAATTTAAGGAAAAAAAAATTAAAAAAATTTTAGAAGCAGGTGCTTTTTCTGTGTCACCACCTTGTTGGGATACTCTTGTATTCATTTGTACAGCAGTTTTATTTTTCTGAATGTAAAAATAATTTAAAAGCCAAAATAAAGTCCAGCTGTCTTTGGGGTTCTTGTCCAAAACAATCTTTAACTTCATTTCTCATTCTTCTCAGCAGCCTCTTGGCTAAAAAGGCACCTAAAATAAATTCCCCTTATCTTTCAGGTTTTTTAGGAATCTGATTCTTGTTTTACTGTGTCTTGAGGAGCTGGACAGCAAAATACATCTCAGTGGCTGAGAATTTTGAGACAAAGCATAACTTACATGTATTTCCTGCAGCATGGATTTCAATACGCTGCAAAATAGCCAGAACGGTTTTCAATCAGAAATGTGGCCACTCTGTAGAGCACTTGGGTAAGGAGTAAGAATTGTGGGTTCTGGATTGTCCTCAGTCTCATCTCCTTCCTTCTAGAATAATGTCCTAATCACCTGATAGCAGAGTCGCCTTTAAATTTCAATCATTATACTGCAAAGAAGGCAGGATATTTGAGTCCATAACACATGAATTTTTATGATGGGCTACATGAGGCTGCAGGATGTTCTGCTGAGTTACCAAATGTTTGGGTGTATTTTCTGTTTTGCAATGCATAAGAATTTTCAGTCTAGCAAAATTTTTCCACTTATAGAAATAAATGGTTGTCACTTCTATAATTATGGTTAAGCAGTAGTTAATGCTTTCTTTGTCCAACACATTGTGGCTGATTGCAGTTCACATCTATGAAAGCGTTTGCATGTTGCTTTGTTCTTCTTTAGTCTATAATGGAGAACTTTGAATTGTTCATTTGTAAAAGCTCAGTACGTTAATAAATGATGGTGTTAACTATCTTTTCAGCATAAAACACAGATAATAGAGTCCTTTCATGAGTGAATATTTTAAATTCTCTTTTTACTAGGAAAATGTTCTCTGTAGGATTTAATTTTTTTACCAAAAACTACTAGCTAGAAGCTAATTTGAAGCATCAGGAGTCAGATGATAACAAAATAGGGTAAAAGGCAACAAATATAATTGCTTGTCTGCTGTTTATAGATTATCTAAAGAGCAGCCATGAAGTTGACACTCAGTTTCTGAGTGGCAGCTGTGAATTTGACAATTATCTTGTCCATTTCCGAAAACTGTAAGCATCAGCAACTGTTGGCACACTCAGGAAAATAGTATTGCCTGGTTTATCTGTTTTCCTTTTTAAAGATTATTACCACCTCTGCTGTGTCTGAAAATTGTTCTAAATGAAAACTTCAGTTTTTCTAAAATTTTTATCTTGCTTCCAAAGCCAGGTTTTTTTCACTTCTCCATGGTATTTCATGTTTAACATTCAGTCATGACTACAGAATACAGCTGAACGTGTTACAAAGAGTGATTTGAGCAACCTTCACTTAGATTATAAAATCTGAATGATCACTACAACCACACCCATAAAACAATGAACTTTCATAAAAGACAAATTAAATAGAAGGAAAACGGGCGTTTCACAAGGACAGAGTGAATGTGGAGAGACCTTTTCATTCCAAGGTATGTCAGCTGGGTTATAATTGGCTCTAATTAGCACACTGTATTCAGCTATAAAAATCCTTTACCTTGAAGCTCAGTGACACTCAAAGATGTGAAATTTCTTCCTACCTTTGAAAACATCAAAGAAAGTGCTTCCAATCTAGCTTTTACAACTGAAAGTTCAGTGATCAGTGCAGGAAAGGTGCAAATATATCAACAGGCATAAAGAATATTGATCTTTGGCTGGAAGAACTCTGGAAGAGTTAATTGGTCAAACCAGATGTCATTGTCTAGAATTAAAAATATATCTACATATATCAACATCAAATGCCAGTTATACTTTCAGCAATATGTAAGAAAAATGATGGACTTAAAATAAATAAAAGTGATCAGAATCAGCTTGAAGATTTCTTAGTTACCCATTCAGTTGTGTGATGATCCTGATGTCTTTTAATTTCACTTTGGAAAACTGGATTGTGGAAGGTTAGCTGTGATTGTGTGCAGGTGATAGAGCATTAATTTTTTTTTATCCTGTTATATGTGTTCAGAAAATGTTTTCATCTCTTGGAAGGATCTAATTGATATATCCGTGCAGCAGAACTGTATGAAATTCTGAAACACCCCTGCCAGTGCCAGTTGGTTACTTCTCATTATTATGGGCACAATGATGGTTGAACTTGTAATTGAAACTGCTTTATCATTTTTATCATCAACACTCATTTTCAGTTGCTCATAAGTTTTTCCAAGTTGTGCCATACAACTTTAACAAGAAACACTTTTGAAAATAAGATTGGCAATACTACAGACAAAACAGTCCAATTTAAAGCAAATCATAGAATCATTCTAGTTCCATGTTCTTGTTAAAACACATTTAAAAACATGATGGTAGCTTAATGTGCTAAATGAAGTGATTTTGTCCTAATACAAGAGACCTCATTACAAATGAACTTTTCGAAGTAGTTAATTTTCATACATTGACAACATAATAAGGATGCAGGTCATGGTTCCAGCAGAAGATGGATGCAGAAGCTAGTCCTTTCTTTGATCTGCTCTGTTGCCTTAGGGAAAAGTTCAGTGGGTGGGGAGTCAGCCAACACACCCTTTAGTTACAGTTCCAGCTTTTTCATCTACTTAGTGTTAATTTTCTTTTTTGGCAGAGTTCTATTTTCTCTGCATAGTCTGGCTACTCTATAACAGCAAATAGGTGCCTGTATATCTAATGCTTGTTTTACTAAAAGCGCAGAGTAAAAAAAGCAACGAAACTGTTCACGGAAGAAGCAAGAGGATTTTGAGAGGAAGGTATCAGCTGAGAATAACTGAGGTTGTGTTTCACAATGTGAGAAAATGACATTGTGTCACTTTTTTCTGTTACCTGCAACTTGCTATTTTCTTTTCCTTGTGTTTTATACCATAAGATTAGGTGGAGTTCCATGGCTTAGATCTGGGGCCAGCCAGGTCATACTCACTGTCTTGGGAAGGTAGGAATAATGCAAAATTTGGGATAAAATAGGAGCATGCATAGTGTGTAGCACCGAGTTAGGAAGGTAGCTCGTGGCTGCCTAATGTTGGGCTTATTTGCCCAAGGCTGCACCTACTCATGCAACCTTCTTTCATCTCTTCAATCCAGATACTGAACTGATTCATGTAAAAAGCTAAACAGACTAGAAAACATACATCTAGTGATGGACTCTTGACAAACCTCAAGAGGTACTTTTTCATATATGCACTGAGGATGAGAGCAGCTTGTCAGACGCCTTTGAATAACTTAAGTTTTTGTCTAGAGATGGGAAGAAGTTTTTTCATGTAGCTGTTGATACTAAAGTTGTGATCTCTGCCTTCAGCTGTATTGTATATGATTGGGAGGTTGCACAACTTACTTTTAAAAGTGTTGGGTATGGAAGCCTATTCTCATCAAATGACAAGTATTATTCTTTTAATCTTACTGTTTTCTCCAGCAAATTTATTAGGTTTATAGTGCATATACTTAGCTATGCTGCCCATACTAACTGGCTTGAATATGCTGCTTCTCATAGGCAGAACTAGAGATGAGGACCGATTTCTTGCATTCCTTCATGTATAGCATGAAACTGGTGAATCACACTTAAAAAGTATATGTTGATTGAGTCATGATGACAGCTGCTGAACTGGAAGAGGTTTGCATCAAAGCTCTTTGGCTTATGATTTTTGGTGTGTCTTAAAAAGGATGCACATTACATATGAAGAACTTCCAGATTTCAAGCTAAAGCACTCTAAAGTGGGTGTACATCAAGGTCTGTTTTTTTCTGTGTATTTATGCAGAATGACTGCTACAGTGACATAATCACTGTTTTGCATGATCACTGTATGATTCAATATGCAGAATGGACAACAAATGGAGTAAGAATTTCAAGAAGCTTTCTTTTTACGGTTAGGCTAGCATCTAGGGAAACTGGGTGGCATTCCTTTTTCTGACAGATTTGAATGGGGTGTCAAAGGCCACTCAAAAGAAAAAGATGTCTATATTAGCAGGGACTAAAAGATTCCATAAGCAAGCCTAAGTTTGGTATCACATAGCTTTTAAGTAACTGATGCTGCAATATAATGTTCATCTAGTACGTGTAAAAACTGCTAGAATGCTAGGTAATGGCAGATTTTGCACTTAAAGTATGGGATGGATTTCAGCTGAAGGAAACCATAAGGAACATGATTTAATATGTTTTGGAACAGATTAGATCCACAGAGTTAAAATAGCTTTCTAGTACAAATTCTGATTGGTTTTAATGTTAGGTTGTTTTTTTCATTTTCTGTTTCTGTTTTACAGTGTTATGTGGGAACCAATGGGAGACGGTAAAAAGATTATTTCGCTGGCTGATAATAACATATTACTGTGGGATTTGCAAGAAAGTTCAGCCAAAGCTGTGGTAAGAATTTTTTTTTAACAAATCACGATACATTTGAATATAGTACAAACAACAACATTCACTAGCCTAGAATTGGCTAGTCTTTTAACTACTCCTTCAGAAATATCTTGTTGCCTTTAATGTGGGTGGGGCAAATGAATACCATATCAGTTGTCTTGAATACGAGTGTATAAGAGTAGTATTTTGTATCTGTTGCTAATGGTTAAATATTTTCCTTTTTCTAGAGTTCCCCTTACTTTCCTACTGGTTTTACAGTGAATAATCTAAAATAAAGCAATGCTAATTTGATAAATGTGTGTGAGGGAAAAGTGATCAGTAAAGCCAAAGGTTATTGAATTCAGATAATAGTATATTAATTCATGTTGGTTAACACCATGCAGCTGTCTGTTTAATTTACAACCCTTGTATGTGTAAGTGTAATATAAATTTCTGTATTTATTATGCACTGCTTTGATTTCTCAGTATTTAATTTAGTACTATACTGTCTATTCAGATTATTTCACTCGTTAAAACCTTATTCAGAACATATGTAAAAAGGTGTCATTGGCATAGATTCCTGTCTGATTATGCCACCTCTTATAGATAAAAAAAAAGTTTGCTTATTTATGTATAATGACATAGATTGTATCTAGAAAACTTCAAATGTTTCTATATAGAGTCATTTAGGTCAGTGTCTGTCCTTAAAAATGGAAACTGATTATGTCAAGGACATTATTATTCAGTTGATCTGTTGTCACTTCTTGAACAAACTCCTCAGTTTCGAGTTAATTTCTATTCTTGGATGCTGCAGAATCAGATTTTTGAACTGGCAGTTGCTTAAAGAGTCAAGACATTGTGTCCATAAATTCTTCCCTGTTGTAGTGTCTGACTGTGTGCAAATAGATGAAGTCTTGAGCTGTTACTATTTTGCTACATTTTGCATGCTATCAGTGTAGTGTAATACAGTTTAATCCCTTATGTTCATAATCAAGCCCCTTTGGGTTCCTTCACTAGGTGAAGAAACTTCAGCTTTTTTTTCACCTGGAACTTCAATCATTGTTATGTTACCTTACAAGTTGTCTTCAAAGTGGTGTTTGTTTTTATCAAATTGATGTTGAGAGTTTCTGAAGGCTTGCCTTCAGGAGCTTATCTGTGGCATTGTATCCCCTGGATTTGTGTTAGTCCTACATTAGTCAGTATTTCTTTTCTAATGTCTCCATAACGCACAGACTTTTTTGGAATGTGTTCTTCAAACCTTCAAAAACTACTTTTGGGGGTGGTCCTGCTTCCATGCTATAGCTTTTCACATCTCTTTGAAGTGCTGGGACTGCTAGACTACTTAGCATTTTCCCTTTCTCCTCCTTTCTCTCTTTGGGCAGCTCTGTCCTCTCTTGCTAAAGTTCTTTTAATGTTAATTAGTTTTTTCATTGTCCGAACCACTTTCTCATAACTATCTCAAACTTCTTCCTAATCCTAACCTCTCTGAAATAGGATTTTCCTTGGGATGCTGTCTAGTGTGTTACCAGTCTCTCTATAAGTATGTGTGGGAATCTTGTAATGAATGCCAAATGCTTTTTTTTTTTTCCTTATTTTATTTTTCTTGGGATTTATTTACTAAAATTTTGCATGTTGTGTCTTCACTTTGCTATTCCTTTCCTCAAAACTAACCTCCTCACTCCGTCACACAAATACTTGTGAAAGTAAGCATGATTTCCATTTTCTTTTCCTTCCATTGCTAGAACTGGGTTCTGCATAATTTTGGAGAGGACTAGGCTCTTCACCAAACTATGTAATTTCAGCATGATTTTGGAAATCAGTATTTCTGTCCTCAAAGCGATATTCAGCTTGCAGATCCCTTCAGTATTTCAATTAGTGTTCCTAGAACATCTTTTATTCTGTTACTTTTAAAATATGCCTGTACTGCATCAAATATTGATGGCAAAATAAGGACTCCAGAAGGCAAAGTGATAAAGAAACTAGTGGGATTTAACCTGTGACATTGCTATATGCTTATATTTGATAAAAGGAAACAAGAAAAACCGGAAGTGAAATTTTGCATCAAAAAACCTGCTTCATCTAATGAAGCTAACACTATGAAAGTAGATATATCGACCCTTGACCGACATCTTCAGATAAGGAGAATTTTGAAATCTTTGTTAAAAACCTTAGTTTGCAGAAGTTAGGAGTGTCATTTATATTTTACAGTCAGGCTTTCAGGAGGCGTGATACAGAATTTGACTGATTCTCTATATTTCTGTATAAAATAATCTAGTATCTCATGTGAATAGACTGTAAATTAGAATTGCCTGTGATTAAAATTTTACCTGGAAATAACTGTTTACCATTATCAGTCTTCTGCTCCAGCAATTTTGAGTTACTCTTAGATGGTATTTGCTGCATCACTGAGTCAGTGACTGCTTTTTAAAGTGAAGTTTAATAGTGAAAGTCCATGGAAACTTCACCACAGATAATGTATATCCAGGCATCTAAATCTTAAGTCAGGTGACTATCTTCTAAGATGACTGGTACTGGTGCATTCCTGTTGAATATTTGTCTGCAACAAATTTGTCTCAAACATGTCTGTGGGTTCCTGAGTTAACCAGAGTCCAGCTGAACAAGACTGAGGAAAGCATGAGCATCTCTTTGAAATGCCTACCGTAGACGTTCCAGTAATTAAAATGATGATAACCTAAAGTCCAGTATCATAGGCTTTTCAGGCCTAGCATCAACTGCTGTGTATTTCTGAAATCTCTGAGTACGTGCTTCCTAAGAGATTAACTCCCTGTTAGAATCTGTAGAAGGCTGAAAAACAACTCTTATTCTGTAGCAATTTTATATTTACAAAAAATTATGTAGGACTGACAGTTACAGGGAGCAATGAGGAAAAATAAGAAATGTTTCATTACTGAGGTGGCTTTCTGTTTAAAAAAACAACTAAAAACACCAAAAAAATTAATAGTCTACCCCATCCTTTGCTGCTATAGTACTTAGAATGCAAGAGAGAAGTCTGTGAGAACAGGTTGGTTAGGAGACAGATAGCATTGGTACAGGTAAGCAATAAATATATTTTCCATTTGATTATCACCATGTACAAGGAGTGTTTGTAGGCCAATAAGCTGTTGGTGAAATAGTGATTTCTTTCTGTATATGTCCTGTTTATAAGGGATTGTTGAATGCAAAATATGTTGTAACCCTCAAAAGCACATGATTTGTATTTTAATGCTTTTTGGTCAGAGTGTAAAAATAGATTTTTCTGGGATATTGAGAAAAAGAGCTTTTTGGCCTTGAAAACAGGTATAGGACAGCCTACAGAAAAAAAAGAAAAATCAACTCTCACCAACATTAAAAAGGGGGCATGTATTTTAAAAAAAAAAAAAAAAGTTTTCTGAAGAGATACCATGGAAACCATCCACAGTTCCTTTGGAGGTTACAGCTGATTATACAAGGTGTCAGTTGGTGCTATGTAGAAAATTCTTGTCAGGAAGTCCACATTTGCTTTATATGCAGATGCACAGGGAGATTATTTAAATTACAAGAAACATTGTGTTTATTGTTCATTAGAATAAAAGGTTGTCCATTTTGGCAAGTCTTAGCCACCTGATGTCTTATTGCTAACATGCTGTTTGGTTCTAGCAGACAAAGCAGTAAGTAGCTAGTAAACTTATATATTTTGTAGAGACTGTTGAGGGGGAAAAGTCTTTGCAAAATATTCCTGTTACTTTAGACTTATAAGTGAAATAACCATGTACCTGTGTGTGTATTTACATTATTTTAACTGACTAAATCAATAGCCTAGGATTAAGGTAATAATGTCAGTGTGTTTGAATTTTTTCCCTTTTTGTCAAAAACATGATGGTATTTAAGTTGAATGACATTATCGTCATTAACTAAAAGTAGGAACTGGTCCACTCTATCTGTATCAGGTAATAGAAGTAAGGAGGTATTCATTGCACTGGTGAGTACTGGTCTTCCTGGTCTTCCTGTAAGAACACATTTCAGTGGCTTCCTTTTTGGATAGGTATGCATTATAGGCAATATTAATTTTAATGGCAAGAGGTAAACCCAATGCTACTCTTCATGGACTTTTCGCGTTTGTGAAAAAGTTCATCTAAAACTCAGGTGTAGTATTGGTGAAAAACTGAAAATATACATGTCTTTAAAATTTTGCACAGGCCAAAATTTCTGCTTGCCTACACTGATCGAAACTTCAGAGTCTTATTGGGTGCAATCTCTTCTATCTGCCTGGGACTTACAAGTCACATTGTTTAATTAGAATTAGCCTGAAGAATTTTAGGGTTCCTGATACTTTCAGCACTTCTTTGTAATAAAATTACTGGTGTGTTCATTCTCTGAATTATCTGGTCAACCTGTCATAGGAAACATTTACTAACCATAACTTACTATACAGTTTGGTAGGCTTGGGGTTTTTTTTACCCCTTTCAGAGTTTTTTGCTAACTTGTTTCTTCATTATGGTATATAATACAGGAATATGTGTGTATTTGCATTAAGACAAGCTTCTTCTGTCCTCTTGATCACTCCCTTTATTATTGTTTTGAGGACATTTACCTTCTGGGGTGAAACTAATCTTATGCTCACTACATCGTTACCCTTTGCAATTAAATTAGCTATTCTTTGCCATTTATAATCATTAGCTGAACCCAAGAGAAGCCCAACCAATCCACAAAGTCTGGATAGCTTCTGCTGAAAAGATGACAGTTAATATTTCTGTATACAGACGTTAGCTCCAATGTCACCAAATCACTAGAACTCTTCCTTGGGTAAATGCCATATTTTTGGAATGGCAGATGAGTGCAACAGAATGAAATGGAGATGTTAAAATATCTACATTTTTCTGTTTGCCTTATGTTTTCAGAAAGGGGAGAAGTGGAGGTGTGGTTTTGATCATTTTTATGCAAATTATTAATTAGATTCCTTTTAGATGTCTTGTCCCTTCTGGATTCTTTAGTAGCATTTAATGTATAGGTGATCTTAATTCGAAACAACGGAAAATATCTGGCAG